TGTCATTCGAAGCAAAAGAAGCTTATTTCAATGACACAAACGTTTCGCAGAACTAATGGCCTCTGCACCACAGCTTCATGCCGCAGTGCTTCATTAACCCTACGCGTGGAACATAAATTTCTAATCATACACTACCGTATTAATCACTGCTAATTTGCAAGGGAACGAACTAATTGCTCAAAATATTGTCACGCCAATTTGAAAAGTCGTACGCGATTACAAATATCGTTCAATATTCAGACCCACATGTGCTTAGTCTTGCACAAAGGCACGAAGGCGACGGGCACTCTTCACACCAGAAAATGCATTGTGTGCACTTGCTTGCTCGGTAATCCCGCACTCATGGCCGCTCCCGTCCCCTAATCATCTCGGAATTGGCGTCCTCAGAGCAGTTGACAGCTATTTGAGTGCTGCTTGCCTTCTGAAAAATTGAGGTATGCGCCTGCATTCCGTACTGGTAATAACGGGCTGAAAGCTCAATCTACCGCTGCCTATCCTTGCGCAAGCGCATTTTTGACGGGACCTAAGTGCAAGTGAAATCATATAATGCAAATTGTTTTATTGATTATGAAAGCTGATGTGTAAGAGAATAAGTAAGAAAAGTATAAGAAATATTAAAAATGTGTTTTTATTGTTGTCAGCAGTTTTCTTTGCAGGCTCTTTATGTACAGTTAGAGAGAATATATGTTTTGATTAAAAAGAGGCATTATTATAAGCTTTGGCATTGCTATAAATAGGCATGCTGAGAAAATATTGCGGAATTCGGACCGCCCTGTCATACGCACTTTTTGTAATAAAGGCCTCCAAACTAAGAAAAAAAAATGTTCCCGAGGTCCAATTTCAGAATTTTCGTTTAAAAACACACACTAAGCAAACACTCGTAATTTAATTGATCGTAAGGGCTAGTAGGTCTATGTTTATTTCAAAAAATTGCAGGTTTGTACCTTGAATATAATTTGTGTAATTTATTTCCAAATTAGAAAAAACAGCGACGCAGGTAAGCGTGGCGCTCCACCTCTTCATCCTTATTGAATTAATGTGCTTCGAAAAAAAACAGGAAAACCGATTCTACACCTCTTCTTTCCATGAATGAGGCAACTAAATATATAAAATTTTGAAAAAATATAAAATTATAAATTATAATTATAATATATAATATATAAAAATATAAAATAAAAATATAAAACATAAATTTTGAAAAATATAAAATTTTGAAAAGATTACGAGATTGACCAGCCATGTTTTGTTCGATATTACGTGGAATCACCCAATTATGTGTTAACAATTCTTTCCTTTTGTTATTGGTGTCCGCGCACGTTCGTACGAAAATTGGAATCAGGTTTGTGTCTCGCTGCTCGGGATGGATTTCAATCCCGGCCTCGGCCTCCGACGGGGCTCGAAGCAAGAATACATTTCTGCGGGTATAGAGCAAAACTATTACCGCATAAGCATTTTGTGATTTGCACCCGCAAAGCACCATCTTTGCATCATCAGGTTAGGTTGTTCACCGATAATTTAACACATCTGAAGGTTTGACCTGCACGGTTACCTGCATTGAACACATCCGCGGATATACAGGTATCGTTTTCGCCGATGTGCCAAGCACCTTGCACTTGGAGTATCGATTCTCACAAAACATCTCGGCTGCGCTCCCCCTAGAAAACCACCGCAGCTTTTATGTAAGTTAGAAGTGTGGCAGCTTGGGCTAGTTGGTATGGCATGACGATAGTTATAGCGCGAGACCAAAACGACGACACAGAGACAAGAAGGACAAGAATAACGCGAGCGTTCGTGCCCTTCGTGTCCTTCTTGTCTCTATGTCGTCGTTTTGGTCTATAACTATCGTCTTGTGCAAGTTTTCGTCGGGCATATTTGCTGAGTGCTGAAGTTCTTTATTGTCATGTTTTATCCCAATTCTTTTGGTGAGTCATTTCACCCAAATTATGATGGTTAGGTGTGCTTGAGGCCAAACGTGAAAACTTTTGTTGCTATAAGATTGTGTCATCGTGCGGCACCGTAGCTGCCGTACGAATACGCTCTTAAGTCTCACTTTATATAGGCACCTCCTACACAGTTTTTACTTTGAGGTTATCGTCCTTGAGCATGAGCCTGTAGGAGGACATGACTTGTGAGGCCAGTCGTCGTCTCAGAAAGGCAAAGGATGTTTAAATATTATGCGGGCTATATCGCTAGCTGTTGGCGTCATTGAAGAAGCGCATTTCGACCTCCGTATCTGTTTTCCGAAAGTTGATATCTGCAATGTTCACACCTAAATTTAACATTACCCTTCGTGGCATGACAGTAATGTCTGCAGTTTGAGGCCCATGAACTTAGATTTAGGCGCACGTTAAAGATCCCGAAGTGGTAGAAATTTACGGAGCTCTCCACTATGGTGGTGTTTCTCATAGTCATATCTTGGTTTTGGAACGTTAAACCACAGATATTGTCAGTAGTAATACCCCGGACCAGCATTTGACGTAAATTAGGGTTCACGACTCCCTGGTAACTGTTAACAAATTCATGCGTATGATGCGACTAAATGGAGATCACAGCTTTTTCGAAATTGTTTTGGGTGCCATCACGTTCCTTTGGGTCGTTTTCTCAGTACGTTAAGTAATTCTTTATGACAGACAGATTTATGTGAAGTATCCTATTGGAGAAAGTGCCAGTTGCTTAAGTAACTAGATTTTTCGGTAAAGAAAGTCGTAATATTCATGGTAAACTACAACACAGTTAATGAACTTAAAATGTCCTAATTTCATTCTTAATACTTCGGCACACATTTTTAAATTCGACAGTTTTTGCCTACTTCTGTTTTACTTAAATCACTGAGCATATTGTCATAGATCAGATTTCTTGAAGTATACAGAGAAAACAAACTCATATTTTGCTGTCCTGCGTCATGATTTTCACAGTGAAATAAATTTCCCATTTGGGTAGAATTTCGCCTATTCAAAGCTATATTATCAAAATTTTCTTCGGCATAAATAACTCTCACTAGGTATGAGAGCTTCCACCTTGTAACTTCAAAGATTTCAATCGCGAAAACCCAGGAATAATTACCACCGTATCACTAAAGAGCGCACACAAAATGGGCGCCGAAAAGGGCCAAATATGGTGGTCGAGCCGGCGAGTCCTTGTATTGACGTCACATTGCGAAGAATGCTGCGATATCAGTGTACCTTCTCGAAGCTAACAGTGTCCATCGGTTTGCGTTTGATAAAGGACAGCTCCAAGTCCGAAAGAGGATGCGATCACTGAAAGGACGGTAGGAAGTGTTGCACCATACTTGGCTATACACTGCGCAAAATAAATCAGTCATTTCGTCTCATTCATTTGATTCAGCGCTTTGATTTGGCCTCACCCCGAGACCCATTATCTATCTTCGTCCAGTAGAGCATGCACTGGAATAGTATTTTAGAGCAGGTCAGGCGAAAAGCGACCTAGGTGATAGGTCATGCCGAGCAAGCTACTCCGTTTGGTGACAATTTCGGCGTGTTTAGATTAATGATTGCAATAACCCTCGCTGGATCAAGCTCCATTCTCTTCTTATTCAGAATATGGTCCGTAAAGTTGTCTTCATTAGGATCAAACTGGCACCTATTCCTGTTCACTGTCACGTTGGTCCTAGCTAGGCTTGATATCACGCCTGCTCAACGTTCGTCATACTGGTATTTCGTATTCCCAAACACTAAAATACCATTCATGACGTTGAAAACGCATGCGAGGCCACACACGCATTCAGACATCCTTTTCTGGAAATACTCCGGGGCGGACATACTTTGGAATGGTAGTCCCGTAAAACAGCCTCCCCCTGCCTGGTGTCAAGACCGCAGTTACTTCTTCACAGTCCATAATTGTCAGACTTGATGGAAACCTATTTCGAACCGGCCAGAGAGCCTAATGCTTGATCAACTCTACGTAGCGTGAACGCTCACGGATAACGCCCTTATATCTAATGCTCTGAGGCCAACTCACAGTCTCAGTTCTCCCGACTGTTTCGTTACTACGACTATTCCTGAAACCCAGTCAATAGGGCCGTCCACTTTCTAATTGATCCCGTGCCCACGAGTCTCTGAATTTCGTGTTGTAACTTTCCCGGGAGCAGAATTGGCTGTCGTCAAGTAACGGTTATGACATCCGGATTCACGCCTGGTTGTAGTCCAATAGTATATGCTCCTGGGATAAGGCCTAGACGATACCCCATGTGCGGAAGAAATGTTTTTTTTTAGCATTGCTTGTCTGCACTATGCGAGTCGACAAACTTAAACACATCCGAAGCCTTTAAAGCTACCAGCTCTTGAATGCATCGTGAAGAGGGCCAACGTCGTAGCACGTTTGACGAACAGTCTTTCTCTTCCACGCAATTTCAGCGAGAACATTGCCTACAACATTGACCTTTTTTGCCACCTGCCCCTTGTAGCACTTTTTCTGCATTACCCAGGTGACTGACTAATCCTGGAAATGTAGAAGGTAGACTCACACGTCTACGCCCGAATCAAATTTAGCAAGGAGAGGCACAAAATTTATCAGAACACGCAGAGAGTGCACGTCCCCGTCGTGTCAATCGTGCGGATAAAGGTTTCTTTGGTATCACGTATAATAGCCGAGACGTGTACATTTCTTTCTGCTTACCCAGCTTTCTTGATGTACGTTCTTGCTAATATCCTCTGTTACCATCATTGTGGCACTTAGAACCCTGGCCTGTGCACATCAACCTCAGGTGCAGGTCACTGACGTAGTAGGAACGCCATCTCCTAATGTGTTGCGGGTGGTTTTGGTGGCCTACGGCGTCGGTAACATACGATCCGGGGAATATCACGGGGTGAAGGTAGGCTGACTAACGCGTGTGTTCCCCACCTATTCGATCTGACGTCACACGCCAAAAACGAGCAAGCGGTAACAGCACAACGCCCACTCACCATCATTCCCTTCGTAGATATGCTGTTTTTGTTTTTACAATTCGACTTCAGCATGCATTTCTGTCAGAAACTTCTCACCTGCTTTCCGCGGTGTTGTCCAACGAGATAATGTACTTGAGGGAAGGGTACCTGAAACAACAAGTTTCCGCTTTCACAATGATTCCTCTACTGATCTGACACTCATTCATCCAACAAATCAACTTGAAAATCATTGACGGAGGTTTATTTGCAGGATCAGCATTCATAGATAAAGCATTCAACAGCTTAAGTCATAGTACTCTCTTTACTAATCTTGAAGCCGTCTGTGTGGACCGGCCTTAGCGCTACTAATAGTCTATTTACATAACCGCGTTCAAGTTCTGTTTACTTCTAATGTATATCCTGAAAATATAACTGCTAATATTGGTAATAGGCAAGGATTGATTTTGGATCACTTCTTTTTATTTATATAATTGATCTTCATGCCTCTTCTCTAGTAATTCCATTCTGTAAGGTGATGGCGCTACCATATCTACGTGAGACAAAATCATTTCACTTTTCATAGACAAGCCAAGTCCCGACATCAAAAATGTATCAAGTTGGTCTTATTCTAACTGGCTAACTCTTCACACAACGGACAAAATTTGTTTTACGTTCATCGCATGAAAATATTCAGAATCCTTGCCTCCTTTATAGTTTCGGTCGGTCTACATTTCTCTCAGTTGATGCTCACTTTTTCTTCATATTTCTCTTGACTTTAACTTTAAATACATAGATCACATTTCTCACATCAATAAGAAAACTACATAGGGTATGTGCGCTCTCATTAAAACTTGTCCCTACTTCATACGTGCCACACTGCGGTCACTGTATTACTCATTGGCTCATTCTCAAAATAGTTATGACATAATGTGCTTGGGTAACACCTATACCTTTCAGTTGGTTTCTGTTCAAGTATTACAGCACCAATTTATGAATTTATTACGAACATTTTCCATTCTTCTAGCAGTAAATGCCTACTTCATGATAACATCACCGGCCCTTGAGGTCTTGTGACTAAGGCACTCGGCTGCTGACTGACAGGTGGCGGTATTGAATGCCGGGCGTGACGGCCGCATTTCTGATGGAGGAGGAAATGTTTAAGGCTCTTGAACCTGGATTTAGGTGCACACAAAGGAGCCCAGGTGTTCCAAATTTCTGCAGCCTTCTACTGCGTGGTCTCTAATGATAATATTGTGGCTTACGGACTTTAGGCTCCAATAAGAAACATTCTAACCACCTCGAAGCTTCCCGATTGCAACTGAATGTCGTGCGACTGAATTGCGACTAAAATGTTGCGACTAAACTGTCGACTAAATGTCTCTATGAAAACATAGCCAAGGTACTACCTCCAATTTGCTTTTTATCTACTGCTTTCATTGCCCAAGGTAGTACTGGATTTCCGCGTAACAATAATGTTTCTTGACTGAAGTAGGTACTAATTATTGTAAACATGCTGCGAAATTCTCATCAACATCATCATAGAATACACTACCGGCTTCTATAAAAATGCAAGACACTCGCACCGCTTTAGCGGAGAACTAAAATCCCACATTAAAACTGCTTAGTGATACTGCCCCTTTATAGCTTAATTTTGTTTCATTTTCTTCATTTTTGTAGTATGGCATTTTGTATTTTTTCCAGTTCTACTGCTTAGCATTTCACATTAATTATTTTGTTTTATGTGTATATTTATTTTCATTTTGTGTACCTAATTGCAGTTCTGCAGCAAACGTGTAGTGTTTAATTCATACCTACGATTAGTGCTTATGTAGCTACAAACACTATATTTAATCATTATATGCCTTGAAGAGGAGGTCGCACTACAGTGTTCAACTATGGGACCCCTTTACGCATAATAAACACATGTAACATTTTTTTACTGAAATTACTTCAAAAAATTTTTCACTGTGAAAGAATCACACTTCAGGGTACCTTGATGTAAACTGAGTATATACAGCACAAAAAAATGAAGGAACCAAATAGAAGACACAAAAACCACCTAGGCTAGAGCAGTGTGTTTGAAACGCTTCTTCTTCTAGTTTTCTTGCGCTCCTCAGCCTCACTAGTACATCTGACCATGTACCAAGTAGCCCACAAAAAGCCCTTATGTAGGACACTTGATTGGGTATATCTATAACGCTACAAGTACATTCCCCCGTATTTTGTAAATATGTCTTACTTAACAAATTAAAGGCTCATTTCATGCTCCGAAATTGTTGTGCTAAATATTTGCCAACTATCGAAGGGACACCTTAAGTTACAAGTTCAAGTTATTACGAATCCTCGTAAAACCACCCAAAATATAGCTATTGAAAAGTTCTATAATCAAAGCAACCATTTTCTCAACACTTTTTCGAATTGAAGTTCTTTGTGTCGTCTAAATTTAAATACGTACAAAATGTTGATGTCCCTTATCTTAATTCTGCGATCCTTTCACGTCAATCGATTACACAGCGCAAATGAAACGTAGTCATGTATGCATAGATCTAGCACTGACTGTCAACAGTTTTTTTTTATAGCGAGAGCACATTCACATGAACTGAGTGTCGCAGAAATTTTACACGGTGAAATGGCGTTTACGTAAGTGAAGCTCACAGGAAGCCCCTTGAGCATCATTTTGTAATGTTGTTACGGCGAGCTTAAGGGAAAAAAAGCTCGAGCTTTTTACGCCATCATCATTGTTGTTAGAAAGTTAATTGCATACAACAGCTGGAAGTACGCGGTCTGAACTAAAAAAGGCGAATTTTTTCTGTGTACTCATGTTTGAAAGGCTTCGATCCAATTAGGCAAATCAATAGGAACTTTTAAATAATATGAACATTTATGGAGTGAATAAGACTCATTAAGTTTATGAACTCGTTTATGTACTCAAATATTCCTCCGGAAGCTGTGAAGCTCACAATAAACTGAGACGTTGCTGGTCTTTTAAAATGTTTTATTGCCACCATGTTGCACACAAAAGTCATTCGTGTGAGCCAAATTTGAGCTTTCCCAAACTTCAACTTTGGTATTGTTTATGACGTGCTGTTCTGAGGCTTTAAACATTCTACAAGTTTTCAGTGATGCCTGACTACTTAAATTTCCATGCCTATTGTTAGAAAGCACCGTTTCAAAAACAGAATCAAAATGGATCGCCCGCGCTCATCCTCTTTCTTTTTTAAGTTATTGCGATAGCAAATATCACGGAGTTTTCTCCGCGTCGTTATGCGCGTACACATACACGTACCTACATAGGGAAGACCCAACTAAATTGAATCAGAATAGTAAATCTAATACGCCCGAACGTGGATTTTAACCAGTGATCCCTCGCTAAGCTGCGCTACGTCCGGCAACGGAGCCACGATTCCACGCGTCACAATGGCAAGCAATTTATACGCACTGTTTACTGGTTGCGGTAATGTGAATTTCGGAGGAGGATGCTGAGCATGATCACTCTTGAAAGAAGTGCACAAGCTACAACGGAGATCAGCCAAAAACGTGTGGCAGTAGAACTTGTTAAACAAAAAAAGCATTTTAAAAAGAAAACAAAAAGGTGGGAAGGCTATGCTAACAAATATTGTATAAGAGAGAAAAACTATTTATGATAATTTTGGTGCCCTACAATACAATGATACTATAAGTATTGCTAAATAATTGAAACAATTCATTTACATAGATAAGCTCAAATGAGTGCTTGGGGATGTTGCTGTGACATGTTGGAAGAAAACAGTGCGAGAAAACATAAAACCAGACAACGAAAGACATATTGAGTGCTCTGTAAGTTTCCTGCTTTGTCTGGTTACTCGTTTTTTGCGCCTTTTTCTTCCGATAAAGATAAGCTTCATAGATAAATGAAGGATAATTTGGCCACGTAGCTGACAGTTATATATGATCAGGCACTCTGCGCAAAGAAGACTACTAAGATGACTGCTGTCTATTCGCTGTGTGGGCTGTCTACAATCTTTGTCGATGTTATACGCATCAGCGTAAGTCCAGATAGTGAACAGCTATGCTTCGTGTCATTTTCACGTAACATTTTTGTTTTAGTGGAGCTGGTGGCTTCCTGTATTCATCATGAAGCTTCAGAGTGGCTGTATCATCGCCTGAAACCACCTCTAAGATTTACAGGCCGATTTCTATTACATAGAAATGCTGTAACATGCTCGAGCATATAATCGCCTCCCTTATCGACAATCCCTACGCGGAAAATAACTTTTTCCTTGTGAAACAACGTGGATTTAGAGGGGCGCTATTTTACGAAACACCGATTTTTAACTCCCCACTGAATTGCGTCTTAACTCATATATCAACCTGCAAATTCACTGTCTGTCACCGGTATTTTTCAAAGCCTTCGACCTCATCATTGCTCTCTGTCAACCAATCTCTGAACTATATTCCTTGTGTCTGAATTCTTTAACTCTGTCAAGGGTATGGAACTAAGTTCCCAGTAACCAACAGCAATCCACAATTGTTAATAATTTTTCCTCTCCCCTTTCATCCGTTTCTTCAGATGTGCTGCGGGACAGTGTTGTTGGTCCTCTACTTTTTCTCATATATATTACCGACATACCAGGGAAAATCCTCGAAGGAGCGATTTTCGCTGACCACTATAAAATTTACCGAGAAATGTCCTAGTATCAGTGATTACGTATTATTTCAAAACGACCTTGACCTTATAAGCAATTGGTGTCATTGTAGGCTTATTTTCTTCAATCTGAGTGAACTTATTGTCCTTCTCTCTCAAACATCTAAGTCAGACTTTTCATAATTTAGTAATGACAATCACGTATCTAGCGTTAATTTCTTTCAATATTTAGGTATCTAACGTCAACACCTAACTTTTCCTAGACTGCCCTCATCACAAACATCAGCAAAAACGCCTCACGATCCTTGGGCTACTTTCGCCGCAATCAACGCAAGACACCCACGTCTATGTGCTGTCGCTTACAAAGCATCATTTTGCCCTCAGCTCAAATTCTCTTCTTCGGTTGGCGCACCTCATTACACTTATCTAAGTAACAAAGCGTGGTTCATTTAAAATAGAGCTGCTAGATTCACATAACAAAACTACGATCACAGAACAAGCATAACACGAATTGAAGAGAGCTTATCACTTGTCCTTTTGAGTA